CAGAAGGCCATGAGGCCCGCTGTTGTCTTTGTTCGTGGAGCTGGGTATCCAGTCAAATGACCAAGGAAATCAGGCTATCCAGGTCGGGGGTTTCATCCCGTGAAGCTAGTTCATCCTTCAATGTCTCAGTCATTCCTTTGTAAAAGATACCTTGTAGAGCAGTGTCATTCCATCCGCTTTCAGCGATGAGGGTTCGGAACTCCACTACACAACCCGAGAGGTGGAGGTTGTAACAATTTCACATTATTTGTAGACCCTTTAAATGCATTGCTAGCCTCACATGCATCCACAACATTTTGTAAAGCCTTAGAGCAGGGGTGGGCAATCCTGGTCCTTAAGGGCCACAATCCTGCATGTTTTAGATGTTTCTCTCTTCCAACACACCTGATTCAAATGATCAGGATCATCATCAGGCTTCTGCAGAGCTTGAAACATCTAAAACATGCAGGATTGTGGCCCTCGAGGACCAGGATTGCCCACTCCTGCCTTAGAGAGCTATTTAGATCTTGGCATAATGACACCATACACTTGACAATCCAATCCTGCTTGAAATCTGGATCCCTGATTCTAATTTAATGGATTTGAAAGTGTGAGAAATATATTTTTCCCTTGTGACTGATCAGTTTTTTGTATATTAATATTTTTAAAATGAATACAAGAGTTAGTTTTATGTGTAATTTAAGTACATCAGCTTTATTATGTCTTTGTTCAAATGTGGCTCAAATGTGTTCTCACGTCGTTATTGTTAACAGGGCAAACACAAGTAAAGCTTACTATAATAGCTTTAGATCCACCTTAGAACCCACTCAGTTTTTTCTCACCTTGCTAATAGCAAAATTATTTGTATTAATTAAGAATGTGTGAAGTTGTGCCCAGTCACTCACTGCATCACTGTCATACAATTTTATTTCATTTATAAGAGGACGCTGGTACCCTCTCATTCTAAGTCAAAACAAGTAAAATTACAGTTGCTGCCTATTTACAACGTTTGTGGGGGTGCAGGGGAAAGGAAGGAACAACAGTCATGCTTTGATTAATCCTTGAGCTCATCCTTAGCAAGAGATTGACGCTAACGATAATGGTATTAGCTGTTGTGATTAAAATGACAACAAATGTAGTCAGCTGTTCAAGTGTTTTCATAAAATATATCTCTGTCAGGATGAGTATCCAGAGTTGTTGAAATGGAGGAGGAAACCATCACTCCCTGCCGTCTCCTCTTCACTCCCAGATTTGTTGGGAAACTCATCCCCCAGCCTCGCCACGGAAACGCCCTTCAGCACTCAAACACTGACTGGTACGCCTGCCCACCTATCCAGCCACAGTCACAGGAAAGCTAACAAACCTAGGAAAATACTAAACTGTGTCTTCTTGTCTGTGCAGACAGCAGTCTGGAAACAGAAAAGATCATGCTGACAGAACCAGTTCCTGAACTGGGACAGATGGAGTACCAGCTACTGAAACTTTTCATTCTGCTGTGAGTCCCTCATTGCCCAGAAAACACCCAAAGAATCCACAAAACTTTCTAACGCAAAAGAACTGAACTCAGGGTATACAATCACAAAGGCTGAATACCTCATCCAAATGACTTCCAGAAGACATCTAGAAAGCACAGAAAATGAAAGTGGTTGTGTCAGTAGTTGTAACGTTTGAGGTGTGTTTATAGTGTTCTGTCGTGTTTGAATGTATCTATATGAGCAGTACATTCATACAGCCACACGTACTACAAAACAATACAGCTGTGTCACTTCTAATCCATAATGTCCATAATGTAAATAAATAAATACAGAGTATAGAATATTTTCTTACCTACAAGGAGTATTTTATTAGTCCAGATTGTGTCTCTATTTCTGGCTCCAACCTCAAAAAATGGTGGAGAATGAAATTTTGTTTCTGCTGCTGAGAATATTCCAAAGTTTCATTTGGATTCCCAGTGACAGGCACTTGCCAACAGTGGGAAGGAAAACATCTGTCTCACTCCTTTTTTCCCTCCCATTCTACTTCTGGAAACTCTGGAGCCACACGTAAACCTGCAGTCTGAGAGCGAAGAGCTCTGTTAGGATGATACGGTACAATAAGGTCTTTAAGATAAGATGGAGCTGGTCATTGAGAGTTTTATATGTGAGAAGCAGGATTTTAAATTTTATCCTGGATTTTACAGGGAGCCAATGAAGAGAAGCTAATACAGGAGAAATATGATCTCTGTTACTGGTTCCTGTCAGAACTCTGACCGCAGCATTTTGGATCAGCTGGAGGTTTTGAAGAGAATTATTGGGACATCCTGATGATAAGGAATTACAATAGTCCAGTCTAGAAGCTATAAATGCATGGACTAGTTTCTCAGCATCACTCTGAGACAGGATGTTCCTGATTTTCATGATATGACGTAGATGAAAGAAGGCTGTCCTAAAAACTTGCTTTATGTGTAAGTAGTTTCACCGAGGGACTTGTTGTTGCCTGAGAGGAGCTCAAATGAGATAAAAGGCATGTCTGACTGCAGTCTTTAATTGAACACACGCATTCACCTCTGCTGAGCAAACTTTACTCATTTGAAATAATGTGCATTGTGCTGAGAATATTTGTAAGCATCTAACATTATATAGCTTTCATCATGTTCAACCTTCTTTTCTATTTGAAGTAAATAAGCAACAAACTGCAATGTCACATTGGGTTGACAGTTCCTGAAGAGTGTTGAGGCTTCAGATGTAACCTGAGGTTATCAGAGTCTCTTTACATCTGTGTCTTTCAGCGTTCTCCTGCTGGTGCTGTCGTCCTGCTATCTAGCCTTTAGAGTTTGTCGTCTGGAACAACAACTCAGCTTCCTGAACAGCCAGTCAACACTGAGAGAGAGGTACACACCTATGATTTAACTACTCACCTTGTTGCAGTTATGTACCTGCGTATTATCACGTTGGGGTGTGGCACAAGCAGAACAGGACACATCCGGATCAAGTGAAGATGTTTAGGCTCATTAATGTGAAAACTTTGCATCTCTGCTGTTACAACAAGACTTTAGGAAGCTGCAAATCTTTCTCTACACAGAGAAAGGTGTTAAATTTGCAGTAGGTGCCAGAGGAACTGAAGTGTCCACCTCCTTAATCTCAGCAATGCAGTTTGTTCACCTACACTTCAAACAAGCTCATTTGCTGCTCAAAACAGAGAAGATAACACATATAACTTAAAACAAAGTAGAATTATACAAACTGTTTGCCTACATGCTGAAAGTCCAGAGATGCACGCTTCAACCTTGATCATCACTGAATGGCACAAAACAGTGGCAGCATGATAAACCAGTCTTTATGATTTATTTGTAAACCAATTAAACAATGAAGTACAGCTTGTTAATTAGTAAGCTTGGGCCAGTGAGTGTGCAAGTTGTGTTAGTTTGGACAGAGCCAGGCTAAAAGCTGTTTCTCCCTCTTTCTCGTCTTTGTGGACATTATTATTTCAGTTCTGTAATCAATGCACAGACCAGTGACGTGCGGTCAGGGGAGGCAGGTGAGGCAGAGCTTCACCTTACATCACGGAAAGAAAAAAATACATAATGACAAAATAATTTCAATGGTTGTATTTGTCCAGTGATTTGTACTATAACGTATTTATTTTTTCATTTAGCCTCATCAGTTTTGATGATTTTTAAATTCAAAATCGCTGAATTTTTGCAATTTCCCATTCAAGTGCTTGGAAGAGAAGCCGGTGAGGCAGTGGTGAGCTGAACCTCACCTTGGATTGCACAATCCCTCACTGCACAGGCTGCCATGCGTCGACTGTCACTGCAGGCAGCCAGCACAGTGAGGGATTGTGCAATCCAAGTGAGGCAGCAGCGAGCTCAGCCTCACTTGGCTTGTGCAATCCCTCACTCTCTACGCTGGCTGCCTGCAGTGACAGCGTGCTGCTTTCTGCATGTCACCAATAACATGTTTCAAAAACATTTAATATATGAACTGATTTTCCATAGTTCAGATGATGTAAATAGTAATGTACAGTGTTTTTGTTACCAACTGTATGTGTGTAACGTGTTTCGTGTGCTGAGCGATCATAAACGGCTGAGAAGAGGTTCTAGATGAGGTAGGCAGTTCTCTTGCCTCATGGCAGGGGGCGCTCTGATCCCAGACATTCTTCTTGTGACTCTGTGGCTGCAGAGTAAGTGACAGCAAGCTAGACTAGGTACGGTATACAGCTAGCAAGTCAAGTGCAGCGAAGGAAGATAAGGAGACTTTTACAAAAAAGTAACGGATATTTTTGTCCAGAAGGAGCAGAGCATGGAGTTCATTTAAAGGTAAAGGTAAGACCGCAATAACTTTTTTTAAAAAAGAGGAAGAAGAAGAAGAAACATGCGTTTTGTGGGCTGCAGCTTGTATGTGTAAAGAATGCAGATATGAAACATAACCCATAAACTGCTGCCAATCAAATGGCAAATAAGCTACTGTGTAGAGGGCATATATTTGTTCATCAGATTCTGATGAAGTCAGTGCCTCACCAGCCATGAACCTCACCGCACGTCACTGGCACAGACAGACTGACATCCCCTTAGCCTCAACAAATAATGACATACTTTAAATTTATCCATTCTAAGTTTTAATTTATCCATTTAAAATGTAAATGAATAAACTGGCAAAGTAAAAACAACTTGCATAACAAAGGTACACAACAAAGTAAACAGGTTGTTGTTGTTGTTTTCCTCGGCTGAATTTTCTCTTGAGCTGAAGTGAAAGGAGAGGAACAACAACAAGGAATTTCACGCTAATTTCGGAAGATATCCACTTCACACATGAAGCAAAATCTGTTTCAATGTATATGTATGCATTTGACTGTTATTGTCATATAGAGTTGTGAACTTATCCTTTAAAGGCAGGCCAAGTGTGGTGATTCGTTTTATTGATAGGTAAATTGACATCAGTATTTTTAATATTTATGTCGTTGAACCTACTGAAAAAAAAATTTTGAAATTGCCATTTTTAAAAACCCTTTTCAACATGCAATTACTCAGCAGCTGTGAAAAAAGAAAAGAAAAACTACACTTTTGAACTCTTCTAATTAGTATGAACTTGAAGAAACGTCCATGTTGTTTAGTGGTCTCATCCCGTGAGACTACTGAACAGAAGATGCATGCTGTTTTTTAATGATTTTCCAGATGTGGAGAGGTGCCGTCGTGGTTGGCCAATCAGAGGACAGGGACCTGATGCTGAAAACAATCAGGACATAAAGAGAAAATCTGCACTGATATAGGATTCCCATTGGTATGTGGTTGTTAGAGGAGAGGCACTCAGGAGACAGATGACTATAGAAGCCATCAGCAACTAAACTCTGGTTTCCATAGAAATGTCTAAATAGTCAGCACAAACAGTAGACTCATCTTTGACAGCTGGCCAGAATGTTTGAGTTAGCATGCAAAGTCAAACAAAGGTCAGAGGTCAAGACAAAAAAACTGCTGTACAATGTCAGTTATGGATTACATGAAGAGACAGAAGACAGACAGCCTAAATTCACAAACTACACCACAACCCACCATCTGAACACACTGAAAAACATGCACGAATGTCCATGGGAGAGCTGGTACTGTTGAAAGGTGTGGTCACAACAAGTACTAATTTGATTTAGTTGTTCTCTCTTCACTGCACTTTACAACATGAAGTTAGCTGATAAATTAAAAACAATTAATGGCATTATTTTTATTTATTTTATTTTTATCTTTACTTTTGCTGCTTAAAACCTTTGCACATTACTGAAAATGAGTTTTTGTGTGTCCACAGATCTCTCTCAAACAAACACTTACTGAGTCACAAACATCCACTGCGACACACAGTTGAACAGTGTCTAGTCCAGTCTTGTAGGCTGAGTAGTCATTGTCACATATTTTCAGAACGTTTGATGTAATGAAACAATAGCTGAAGTTGTGTTTACATTCATTTTGCGTTGCCATTAACCAATATGTTTGTGTTTAGTGACGGTGCCTTGAGGACAGCAGCGTACATGTTCAGCTGTAGTGTTCATGTGTGGAATATGTAGACGCTAATCAACCTTAACATGCTGTGGGATTCTGTTAATTCTTTTCTAAATATAATAAACTATTTGGACTGCAGTTTTATGACTTGAATTATTTTCTTCAAGATATAAAAAGAAAAAAAAATCTTGCTTTTCTTTTAATCATCCTTGGTAAATTAACACACTTGCAGATATTCTAGCTTAAACACCATTAATCAGGTTCTATTTTATTTTCCTGACATAAAATGTGGTTGCGTGGGGAAAACATTGTGAAAGTTGTACTTGAAATGTTATTTTAGGATACAGAGCATTGTACTGAATATCCTCAAAAAACAGCACAAAGGCAAGCCATTGCTTATGTGGGGTAAGTCACAAGTAAAGTTATCAAAAACAATTTCACATTCAAAGAAGTAAAGAAACTGCTGTTAGATTTATCATTTTCAATGCTCTTTAAAGGCATATTTACTTTCTGCCTCTTGCGTCTTACAGGATGCTTTTACTTTTTCACCATCCAAATGCCGGGTTTGTCAAGAAATTTGGTTTCAGAATAGACTTCAGGCGAAGCAAAACTCTGAGCAGCTGGTGGTACCCAGAAGACACATTATACCCCATCTGTCTGGAGCACTGAAATCCTTGCTGATTGCCTCTTATGAAAGAGGTTGATGTATTGTTTTTTACTCTAGAGGAACTCCTGGCTGCTCTGACAGCTAAGCGACGGTCGAGTGCTGGATGAATAACAACAGGACTCACTCTGCCTGGCTCAGGTTCCGCTGCAGGCCAAATTAGAAATGGCATGCAGTGAAAGAGGAAAGGAAACCAGTCTCCCCAGAGAACAATCTAGAAATTTTTCCCTCCATTCACACAGACAGAAAGAATATTGACAAAGCCATACACTCCCTCATAGCCAATCAGCTTTGTGTTGTTTTTATCAAAGCAGCCTCAGACATCTGCTGCTCCTGTGCTGTGTTCTTTGCTCATCTGACTGTCTGATTGTCTGTCTCTGTGGTTCGGCAGTCTTTCTGCCAAGTTTTGGATTAATCAAGGTTTGCAGCTCCTCAAACGCAACAATACTTGTCTGTCTGTGGGGAGCTCTGAGAATGATGGTACAGGTGATGGATTACCCATCAGCAGATCGAACTGATGTGTGTTCATGTGTTTTGACCCAGACGTTACAATAATCATCCGGTCATACAGTGGCACCTTATGGATACTACACTTAGGTTAACAAGTCAAATAAAACTGCAATCTGTGTTTACTGGCTGCACAAATACAACATCTTAAGGTAATTCTCCACATCTGCATGTCCATATGATGTCAATTCCGTCATCAGCCTAAGTCCACGAGGATTCACGGAGTCCCTTCTGCAGATGTCTGCATGTATCCCAGAATTTGGGACCACATGGACTGTACATACTACCAGCACACCAAATGCACATTTGCCAGAAAAACAGATGTGCTCAAAACAAATGCTTGCTATGAGGACAGACTATGCAAGAAGATCCCCATCATCTACACACATTTGTCATTAAAAAAGCTCTAATTGTAGTAGTCCCTGATTGACTTAGAAGGTGCTTTGATTCTCAAGAAATCCTGCACTCTGTCCACCCACTGCAATCAGCATAACAAAAGGATATTCACATTGACACAGTACTACAGCCTAATCTGTAACCAGCTGCTACATTCTACAAAAAGTGCAAAGGCACAGCCAAACTTTTAGAAATATCGACCTGAGCCACGTTGAGTCTGAGGAGTAATGCCACCTTCTATGTAGCAGAGTGACAAATGCCTTCTGCAGTGTGAATAGAACTGCACGTGTGTTATCTGTCCACTGTTCAAGTCTTCCTCACTCTTGTGTGTATGTAGATTTGTAGCCATCCAGGTCATGGTAATGACATTCACTGAATTTAAAACAGGTGGGCCATGTTTAGGGAGGCTGCCTCTGACAACTAGCACATCAACCTGGAGGAGTATGTGGCATCTGTCTCTGCATAGAAGTGTATCGGGGATTTCTATGTCACCAAGAACATTAGGACTCAGGCCAACCAGGATGACTAAGGTGTATGCAATGCTGAGACCTCAAAATGCTGCCTTCAATGACCTTCAAAACTGGCAACATGTTGGCTCTCAGATCTGCAAAAGCCAACCTGAACTGACCCATCAGGATAACAAAATGCACTCACAGTCAGAAAATCTGGAGGTACAGTCATGACCTAATGAACACCATGTGGTAGGGAATCCAAACAATCATGGATGTTAGTACTTCCCCATCAGTAGGGATAAAAACAGCTTTCTTAATGAACTGAATAAATGCTATGGAGGGTGAGGCGCTGACCTCTGTGGAGATCAAGTCAATTGAGCGCATCTCAAATCAATCACCAACCACTCCTGGACCCTCTGCTGTTCACCTACAGAGCCAACAGGTCTGGAGATGATGCTGTCAACATAACTCTGAAGTCTATCCACCAGCATCTGGACTCTGCAGGAACCTATGCCAGGATTTTTTGGGGGGATTTTAGTTCTGCTTTTAATCCAATCATCATGACTCTGCTGCAGGACCAGCTCTCCCAGCTGCATGAGCCAGACTCCACTTGCAGGTGGATCATTGACTTCCTGTCTGACAGGAGGCAGCAGGTGAAGCTGGAAAACACACCTCTGACTCTTGAACTATCAGCACAGGATCACCACAAGGCTGCGTCTTTTCACCTCCCCCCTGCTCCCTCAACACCAACACCTGCACCTCCAGTCCCCAGTCTGTCAAGCTCCTGAAGTTCTCAGATGACACCACTCTCACTGGACTCATCTGTGGTGGGGATGAGTCTGCTACAGATGGGAGATTGACCATCTGGTGACTTGGTGCAGAAGAAACAGGAGCTCAACATTCTAAAGACAGTGGAGATGATTATACAGTTGAGGAAGGATCCAGCCCAACTTGCCCCCACCCTGTGTGACTCCCCAGTGAACAATGTGGAGAACTGCTGCTTGCTGGGCATCATCATCACCCAGGACCTCATCAAGAAGGCTCAGTAGATGATTTTCTCAGTTCAGCAGCTGAAGAAGTTCAGTGTGAACATGTGCTCAGTGTGAACTGAACCTGCTCTCATCTGTGACGAGCACAGGGCGCCAATGGCTAATCTGCCAGTCTTGGTGTTCTCTGGCAAATGCCAATCTCCCTGCACGGTGTTGGGCTGTAAGCACAAGCCCCACTTGTGGACGTCGGGCCCTCATACCACCTCATGGAGTCTGTTTCTGACAGTTTGAGTAGAAACATGCATATTCGTGGCCTGCTGGAGGTCATTCTGCAGGGCTCTGGCAGTGCTCCTCCTGGTCCTCCTTGCACAAAGGAGGAGGTAGTGGTCCTGCTGCTGGGTTGTTGCCTCCCTATGGCCCCCTCCACATCTCCTGGTGTACTGGCCTGTCTCCTGGTATCTCCTTCATGCTCTGGACACTGTGCTGAGAGACACAGCAAACCTTCTTGCCACAGCTCGCATTGATGTGCCATCCTGGATGAGCTGCTCTACCTGAGCAACTTGTGTGGGTTGTAGACACCGCCTCATGCTACCTCTAGGGCTGAGAGCACTGACAAAATGCAAATTGAACAAAATATCAGCTAGAAAAGATGAGAACAGAGAAATGGTCTGTGGTCACCACCTGCAGAACCACTCCTTTAGGGGTTGTCTTGCTTATTGCCTCTCAGTTCCATCTGTTGTCTGTTCCATTTGCACAACAGCAGGTGAAATTGATTCACAATCAGTGTTGCTTCCTACCTGGACAGGTTGATTTCACAGAAGTGTGACTGACTTGGAGCTACACTGTGTTGTTTAGGTTTTCCCTTTATTTCTTTGAGCAGTGTATGATTGCTGCCAGGCTTGTTGAATACAAACATCTTTAAATAGAACCTGTCTGGCATTGTAAAGCAGCTAAAGTGTCTCAAAAAACAGCACATGATGCCACGTTCTAAAGAGGTTCAAGAACAGATGCGAAACAAAGTAATTGACATTAATTGGTCTCAAAGCCTTACAAAGCCATTACGAAAGCTCTGGGACTCCAGAGAACCACAGTGAGAGACATTATCCACAAAAAACATGGAACAGTGTGAACCTTCCCAGGAGTAGCCGGCCTGTCAAAATTTCTCAAAGAGCATGTTGACATCTCATCCACGAATACACAAAAGAATCCAGACAAACATCAAAGAAACATTGACAAAGAAGAATATGATGCAATGAAACATGGTGGTGGTAGTGTGATGATTTGGGGCTGCTTTGCTTCTACAGGACCTGGACAACTTGTCATAATTGATGGACCCATGAATTCT